AAATTATGCAAGGATTCATAAAGGATTTGACCAGAATACCATCATCCGTGTGTTTAATAAAACGCATGGGAGGGTACCGTACTCGCGCGATTAAGCGCCCCGTTTAAATAAGCGCCCTTCTCGAATAAACGCCTCCCAATAATCCACAGTCCTAGGATTGATTGGATTATAAGAAAACCTGCAATGATCATGCCATCCTGCTAATTTCAATCGGCCGAATATGGCCAACAAGCTAACCACCACCACTACCATCACTAATTTCATCTGCTATTCTGCTGTTATGTAGGCCTAATACTGAAGTCACAACATTCTTGTCATGACAAGCAATGCTCTCTGGACAATTATCTTTTCCGCCACACCACCATTCGTAATTTTCTGTTTTCTGATGTCCTTGTATTATATACAGTAATCGTTTTTCATTTAAGTGTGCCTCTTGAATTTTCATAAGAACCTCTCGATTTTCATCTATTTCCATAAGCGCCCCCTCAATTTCCACTCTGTTTTCATAAGTGCCCCGATCAAATAAGCGCCCCGTTTGAATAAGCGCCCCTGAAAAAGTGCAAAAAAAATTTTAAGCGCCCGGGCACTTATTCGCGCGGGTACGGTACTCACTGCGTGTGACGGCGACACCACGGCAACGCGACAACGAACGCACGCGACGAAACCAACGAATTGCTTTCTTCATGAGGATCCGTTCAGACTGCCGCTGACAATCAGCAGACGTCATTACGTCGTCTATCCCTCGCCGAAAGCAGAGGTTTTCGTCGTGCGACGCAGCGAAGTGCCCGGCTTTCGTTGCATTGCCATAGCAGTTATATTGCAGAATAGCAGTTATACTGTGATCTGCCAAATCCCATCAGTTCATCTTGATTTTTTGCAGTCATTAATCAATGCAATACCTTTTTACAGTGATGGTGTTGCAGAAACTACAACGAAAGTATATAAGTACAGCAGTATCTCTGGTTTCTACGAGTATCTGCAGGATTTATCTGGCACAAGTGTAGCACTCAAGATGGAGGCCTTTGAGATAAATGACAAACTATATCTGTTCGTCGCTAATTATAAGCAACATGGTGGATCAACTATTACAACGTCTTACATCTACACAATTAAGTCGGAAACAGGTTATAAACTCAACTTATTTTAATGGAAAATTACAAGATATTCTGTTATATTGGATAAAAACTACAAAAAAACAGTATTTGGATTTATATATCAAAATGCCAAATAGGCTATCTATTTCCAATGTAACACATACGAAACAATTTAATTTTTGTTGGTATACACACTTACTAAAAAATCTAAATATAGATTCGAGTTTTTTCTTGGCCATGTCCTTTATTAGCACGCGAGGCCCGGTACGCGAATATTATCGAAGCTAATACAAGACGTCATCGGTACCTGTCTCTTATACACATCTTTTGTTGTCATGGCGAGATAGATTATCTTGACAAGTCGACAGTAAAAATTGTATGTTGTCATGGCGAGATAGATTATCATGGCAAGTCGACATAGTAAAAGTTGTATGTTGTCATGGCGAGATAGATTATCTTGACAAGTCGACATAATACAAATTGTATCTTGTCATGACAACATAACTTTTATTATGTCGACTTGTTAAGATAACCTATCTCGCCAAGACAACATAACATTTTTACTATGTCGACTTGTCAAGATAATTTATCTCACCATGACAACATACAACTTTTATTATGTCGACTTGTCAAGATAATCTATCTCGCCATGACAACATACAATTTTTACTATGTCGACTTGTCAAGATAATCTATCTTGCCATGACAACATACAACTTATATTATGTCGACTTGTCAAGATAATTTATCTCGCCATGACAACATACAATATGTATTTGTCGACTTGTCAAGATAATCTATCTCGCCATGACAACATAACATTTCTACTATGTCGACTTGTCAAGATAATCTATCTCGCCATGACAACATACAATTTTTATTATGTCGACTTGTCAAGATAACCTATCTTGCCATGACAACATACAACTTATATTATGTCGACTTGACAAGATAATCAACATACAATATGTATTATGTCGACTTGTCAGTATAATCTATCTCGCCATGACAACATACAATTTTTACTATGACGACTTGTCAAGATAATCTATCTCGCCATGTCGACATGATATGTATATTATATCGACTTGACAACATAAATTATCTTGACAAGTCGTCAAGTCGAATGGCACTTAGGTGCTTCCGTAACTACGAGCATTAATTTTGAACATGTTCAAAATTAGCGTCACGAGTTCAGAGCTGTTCTGCCGCGTTAGCAATTAGGCAAACTCTTCTTAAATTGCTGGAAACGATGCAGTGGTGTCTGGTTTTCTTTTTGAGGTATTCTATTACATCACTACAGTCTATTAGTAAAATATACAAAAAAAAAAACAAAAAAAAAACCGGGAACAGCCCTCTGAACTTGACGAAATACGGTAGTGCTGTAATGTATATTATAATTTCTATTGTATATACAGTGATGATTTAAAGATGATATTAGGAGCTCAGATTGAGTTTGAATAGGTTTTTTCTTTTAGGTTTGTTTGAGCAGCACCAAGCAATTAGCACACAAGGCGCCTATTCCGCATCTTATTTGAAACTTAATGCAAATCATTACTTGCTGGTTGCCAACTACTATGGGTCAACCTTAGACGTGAATTCAATAGTATATCAATGGAACAGCGACAGCAACCAGTTCATCGAATTTGCCCAGCTTGCAACCAATGGGGCTAGTGGTTGTAAACTATTCTCAATCGACAGCAGTTTATATGCTGTAATAGCGAATTTTAAAGGGTCGATAGACGGACATTCTGTTTTCTCTAAGGTTTGGACAGTCATCAAGGGCGGCTTTGCTTCAAGTAAGTAACAATCAAGGACAGAATACACACAGTCAAACACAGGCTAATGATATAAATGTATATTATATTGATTGACTCATTGATTGATTGAATGAGCGATTGGCTAATTAATTCATTTATCCATCCATTCATTTATTCATTCATTTTTCATTAATTCATTCATTCAATAATTGATTATTCCATATTATAGGCCTATCCACTCTATTTTGATCATTTGAATGAATATGTAAACGGCATATTTTTATATACGAGGTTTTCTAAAGCTTTTTCATTCGGGCATTATTGCAAACACATGTATATTTATTTTCACTTCAGGGGTTTACAAAGGCTGTTTTGTGGACAGCGGTAGTAGAGCGCTTCCATCAATCCACACCAGTTATGTATCTATGACTGTAGATTGGTGTATAGCATATTGTTACGATCGTGGCCATGCGTACGCTGGTTTGCAGGCGGCAAGCTACTGTTTTTGTGGCGGCGATACATACTCCAAGTACGGCCAACGACCAGACAGTGAGTGCAATTCTAATTGTAGAGGGAATCCGCTAGAAAAATGTGGTGGTGGTTGGAAAAACTCTGTATACAATACGGGTGCAGGTAATAATTATATTATGTTTTATAGTAACATTGGTAAAAATACAAAGTTAGTTACGGTACGTCACTGCTTCCCTAAACAAAAGGTTATTTTAAAGGCGATAAAGGTGTGTACATTACATTCAGAAAAGAGAATAAGAATGTTTAAGAAAAATTGACATAATTGATTATTAGATGTTAATATATTATGGTGCCGTCTCTAATTCTAAATCTATAGTAGATATAATGACTTGCATTATTCTGCCTCTTGTTTCTTTTGTAGATTATCGACATGTCTAACTCTATAACTACATAGTGTTTGTGTACATTAATATTGCAGAGAATTCACTAAGCGAGACTAACGCAGGATCTATTGGAATCGATGTGTTTGAGAGTGATGGCGTGACTTATCTAGTGGCGGTTAATCATTTTGAATGTGTACAGAATACCATAGTTTACACATTCAACAAATACACCAATGAGTTTGAAATTCACCAAAGAATTCCATTAGAACACTGTCCTATTACTGTTACTGTGTTCAAGGTAGGTACAATGGTATGCATACCATTTCAAACTTGTGAAATTCGCACTCCTAATATAGGACTAACAATTGTACCTAATAATAATAGACCATGAATTTATGCGCTGGACAATAAAAGCCTACAGGTGCAGTTGCCAAGATTTGCAAATTTATTATTATAAGTATGGCTTCAGCCATTTTCACGGGTCCACCTCAGAAATTTGCTTCCATTGATTGCAAAGAAGGTGCATTTTACTTAAACAATGGTGCAATTAGGAACCGATAGTCATGGTGTTTTAACATACTGAAAACAAAATGTAGTGGTCGGGTGGCCCGGTGACGATGCTGCATGCGACGTTCCTGCAAAGTATGATTTCCATGCTACTGTCACGCTTTGTTACATAGTGGGACTCTTAGGCCTATGCAGATTGTAGCAAACTGCCAATTTTGTTTACCTTTGTCAAATCCTCACCAACATTTACATATTGGACGTATAAACTGCGTAGAATTTAGCATATAACAATGATTTATCTTCTTTCAGGTGGGAGGAGAAATATTCATGGTTCTGGGCACTGATAGAAAGGAATGGTCGGCAAGTGATGTTGAAAGCTACACAACGTCATCCCCAATCTTTAAACTGGAGGGTAGCATGTTTGTCAAATATAGGACTGTGACGTCACAAGTATCTTGGGACTTTACTTTTTTTGAGCGAGATGGAGAATACTTTTTGGGCCAATCAAATCAAAGGAATGAAAATGATGGCAGCAGCTCCGATGCAAGTTTCAACATATATCAATGGATTTAGTTAATAGTCTACTAAAATATGAACAGGCCTAATAGCGTTTTCCTGTTCGCAGGAATATGAAGGAATCGTCCAAAGTAGTTTTAAATAATGACTATATCAATCACAATGTGTACATTTGTGAACATACTGGAAAACAACAATGCTGTGATAAACAATGGATGGATCTCAGTATATACGAAAGCAATAATCAAAGACTAAAAAGCAAACTCTTATTAGGCGTGTTTTGTAATAGTTTATTATTAATAACATGATTTGATTTACCTCTAGTATGTTAAAGTCTCGATTATCGACTATGGCCTAATACTGCAAACAACTATCCGAGACTCAGCTAGTGAATGAATAGCTTAAATAGCTTATTCAACAGCAATTTTTGGCAAGCGGTGTTAACCTTAACAGGCCATTGCAAAATATTCACTGAATATTTTTTTTATGGAGAATTAACAATAATATACTCACAAACACTATTTGTATATTGTAGCATTTTTCTGTAATCACTGTCAAGGTTTTCTCATTCCTGAAAATGACACAATATAGGTAGAACATTGAATTATGGCCTGTCATTATTTGGTGTAACGTGTGTTATATGTTATTCGAACAGTAGCCTTATTTACACGGCCGTTTGCTATCAGATAGGTAACACCGATGAACTTCAGTCGCGCGTCTACACGATAAAAAAATCTGACCTGCAAAAAATGCACACAATGCTACTTGTTTTGAAACCCTTTGTCTAAAAAGTTTTAAAATGTATTTAATTGATAAATACATAATTTTACAAATAATAATAATGGAATTCACACTGTTTATCAACAGCAAATTACTGCGATGACTCACACAGGTCAAACAACAGCTAATTTGTATAAAGACCGCTGCGATGCAGAGGTAGCTGCATAGATCATCGTGGTTATTCATCCATTATGTGGAGTTATTAGGTAGTTTTCGCTGCACGATGTTAACCTTAACGTTAATCTCAGGATTTTACGTGGTAGCGCATGCAGATTTCGGTTTGTTTACAAAAGTTATCGCGTTGCATGTTGGGTACTAACATTAAAGTTAAGGTTAACGTTGTGTGGCAAAAACTACCTATTAAATCTGTTTACATGGCCACATAATGCAATTACCATGGTAATTTCCTGATTTTTCATGAGGTTTCTGATTCACAGGCACAGGTGAATTTTTTATGGCTTACTATGTTCCAAATTGTGCTTTTAGACCACAATGTTTAGGACTGGCAATTAAAATAAAGTTATCTGAATAGCATAATTATATTTTCTGATCCAAAGATCTCGTTCTCGTTGTAGCTTTGGACGACAGGGGGACAAGGCCTGTCTGACATTTCACATTTCTTGACAAAAATGAATAGAAATAATTAAAATTATTTATATAAAAAATAAAATAACACAGCTATGTAAATCCACATTTATTAATAAAATTTAAACTGAGTTGTCAGATTTGGTTGCAATTTTAATAGCAAAATTTAAAGAAGAAAAAAAATTAAATCAAGGAACACCAAAACCAGGATGAGCTTGGAGCTTCCTTGGTGCTACTTGAAGAAGACCGCCTTCGCTGGGTTCGTGCAAAACCATAATCCTCATCTGCAGAACTGGGTTCAGAGTCTGTATTCTGATCGGTGTCATATGCTTTAGTTGACAATGATGCTACAAATTCAGTAGATAAAGTTTCCTGATTCCTTTGGGAATAACAAAGAACAACCAGTTTTCACACAATTTCAAAATAATTACACTGCCTGAATTCTGGAAAGTAAATCTCAGTTATCAACTTTCAATGAGAGGATCATCAATTGAGAATTCAGTGGATTTACAAAATAAAATTAATCACCAAAAATTGAATGTTTATGCAAATATGTCTCAGTTACTTAATAGCAAGAAAAATATTTGTTTTAATTTTTAATGCAAGTTAATAGCTTACTTAAATTAATATACAAACTAACTAAAATGTACTGTATTAAAAAACATAAGCCAACATAAACTAGTATATCAAATACAGCAGCACATATGATATGATGGTGGTTGAGCAATGGACTTGGACAGACAAGCTTTTCAACATAAAACAAATGTAGTAACTTCAACAACAAAGTATGCTCTAGATTTAATCAAAAAGAGAGTAGAAGATGTGTCTCTGCACTTTGCACAGACAAATCACAAAAGAAACACAAGGTTACTTTGACACACCAAAAAGTCTAAAAAATATAAGGTGAGTGTTGTATTTCATTTTGAAAAAAGGCCCAAAAATACTTGTATGTTGTTTGAAAAGTCTAATTTATGCTACAATTTATAAGTTTTATACATAAGCGCTGAAAGTTCAAAATAAAGTGGACTTTTCAGTAATGCATTAATGGCAATACCATATATACTTGCATATAATGTGACCAAGTTTAAGGAGAATTTTGGATGACGTTGTATGGACGACCCCTTGTTTCATCGTCGTTATTCCAACTTTTTGATACTTTTATGGTTTTTACTGCATCTAGCTGGTTAAATTTCGGGCCAATCTTCCAAATAATACCATTCTGTGGGCTTTTAATGTTCATCAAAATCTCAAGTCCTGCAATAAAAATTTCATTTATTCATACTAATACTTAGTAGCTTCATTTCAATGGTAGTAAATTGGCATGTTACAGACGATCCGCACATATCAGACAAACATGATTTAAAAATGTTGCGCATATATAAGACAACTGCCTGTTTTTTGATCGTTATTTGCTTTTTTAAGCCATGTTTTGTACGCGAGGACATACGGTATTACCACTGGTTTATGTTATGTTAGGAATGATTGTTTTCCTAGAAATTTAATTCATATTAAATTTAGTGAGATAAATTGACTTACCTATTCCCATGTCCCTGCAACTGGTCCCACACAATGAGTTCACTTCCAGCTGTAACCAGTCTTAAACTGCCTTGTTTGTTTTTAGTCACACTTATTTTAACGATTCGCCCGATGTCTTCATCTGTAATCGTAGCTACATATATTTCCTCTGGTAACACTCGCACTGCAAATGTCAAAACATGCTCTTAGTCCTTAGAAGTCTATTAGAATTTTAACAAATGATTAATTTTAAACAATTATTAAAAATGTTAATTGATGTATAGTTCTTTTTTATGGTAAAAAGTCACTCCACAAATAATATAATTTTAAGTATTAAATAACAGTTTTTTTTAATATAAAATGTATGTAACAACAACAATAATAATAATAATAATAATAATAATAATAATAATAATAATAATAATAATAATAATAATAATAACTTCATTGTTTCTCTTTTGTAATTGAGGCAAAATTGCTAAAGTGATGTGCAACAAGATGACATAAGTACATTGGTTTTGCTATACAAGATTCTTACTTAACTAATAATGCGTAATTAATACATTATCAGTATATTTTGTTACATTATTTTTCACTTAACTAATAATGTAAAAAAAGTATAATGCACATTCCAAGAAATGAAACACATTGTTTCATTTATAAAATGAAAGTTTCATTTCAATTCAGCATTAGTTTTCTTTTCAACACTGTAGTCCCTTGGACAGGAGAGTCTTACCATTTATGAATGAGTTGCCAGTATCTACATCGAGGCCTGTTGATACTAATAATCCATCTTCCACCATCACAGAATCAGTTAAACCAAAGTTACTCATCTGGTTCTTCAACTTGGTTAGTTTACCTTTGAGATGAAAACAATTACAATAATATGTGGGCATTTAGATAGCGCTCTTCACAACGAAGTCTCAGAGCGCTGCTCCAATTTATTACCCGAGTCATTGTAACGATGCCTATGGAGGGAGTATTACATAGTTGTTGCATGAAATAAATCAGTGCACAATGAACTTGAACCCACTTAAAGACACCGGGTGGAGAGAGACAACATGGATAAATTGCCTTACCCAAGGACAAAAGCGACTTTGCACAGCGAGTGTTTCCAACTCTCTACATTAAGGTTACGAGTTCCGAGTCGCACCAATTGCAAACCGCTTCCAATAAATACCAATTCAGGAGTTCAAATATCACAATACAACAATACTGTATATAACTTCTAACATAGAATTTTAACATTTAACATCTATAACATACTTCAAACTAGTCTTGAAATTTCACCAGTTTCGTTATTTTTGAAGTTTTAAATTTAATTATAATTTTTTTATTTATACCTCTGGCCGATTTTGTCTGTACTGCAAATGCCCATAAAAATATACTCACCTGTTTTCCATGCTAAAACTTTGATATTTTGTCCATCATCCCCATAGTAAATTTTTTTATTGGAGGATGCAATGCATTTTATAGTCGTCTTTGAAGAGGTTTCTCCACTGGACACATTTTCTGAGCAATACAATGGTGCTAACGACTTTTCACGCAATTCCCAAACCTTGATAACGCCCTCAGATGATCCACTGAATGCATGGCTTTCGTCAACCTTTATTAAGAGAAAAGAGTTAAGTGAGAATCAGAGGAGAGCTCTGTCGATCTGTATTCATATATTTAGGCTCATACACAAAATTAGTTATTATGCTTTAGGAGTCAGACTGTCACATAACAGGAATTATGCACAGAACCACAATGTTGCAAGAACAATACTAACCCAAAGACAAGTTACACAATCATGTGCCAATACTGAGAACAAGTTGTTTCCTGATTCAATGTCCCACAATTCTACCTTACCACCATCTAGAGAGAAAAGAGATTGGATAGAAAAGAAAAAAATTACTTCAAATAGAAAGCATATGAAGCCTGGTTTCCATACAATCGCTACACACTATCGTCAACTCCTTTGGCAACGCTAATTGGTCAGTTGAATCAGGGAGTGTTGCTGTGCTTAACAAATTTTAAAACTATAAAACAAAATAATAGTGAGAAGAAAATAAGTTCCATATTCATTTACAAGAGAACTATAAATATTAAATAAATTTTTTAAGATATGGTCTTTAATTATTATGTACTGTACATTACTAAAATGACATGCATTATTAATTAATTAATTTCTTATTGTCACTTGCTCAACAATTTATAAAACTACAAAACAACAATAGAAGTAGAAAATAATTTATACATTTCCTTAACAAGAGAGCTATATAAATCAGATTAATGGTCTTGCATATTAATATCTCTAATTTAATACAAAATATTTTGCATTTTGTATAAAAGTGATAATGAATGAAGAATAATTATCTTTGAGGTATGCAAGAGCACTATTGTACCTGAGCCGGATGTGATGTACCCTACTCCAGCAAAATAGTCCATGCATGTCACAGGGTTGTAAGTGTAGATAGAACGTACAAGAGATGTTGATGAGATACACCAAACTTTGATGGAACAATCTAATGAAGCACTCAGTGCAAGTTCACACCCTTCAGCTAGATCTTCAACAAGATTTTCTGATATGTGGTAAGAAAAAAAAACTCAGAATATTTATTTATTACCATTTTTAAATATCAAAGTCTATACAAGATGAAAACTAATATTGGTTTATGTAAAATTGATAATTTCAGGGACAAAGATGACTTAAAATTTAATAATTAGAAATTAGAGCTTTAAGCCAGGCACTCACTGTGTCGTGCGGCTGTCACACAATGAATCCAACTCCGCGCTCTGTAAGCGATAGATGACGTGACACCATCTGCTCATTGTCGGTGGCAGTCTGAACTGATCGTCTTTAAAAACAATCCGTTGCGCGCGCGTCGTTGCATTCTTTAATAATAATAGATGGATTTATATAGCGCAAATAAACGAGGTCTCTATGTGCTTGGGACTAGATGTTGCACTTTTCAATAACATTCTCCTCCCCTGAAGGTCACTTCATGTCCTCTGCAGCAAGTAAACCAACGCACTTTCATCCATCCATTACAGGGGACGAGTGAACCAGTACACTGGGGTAACCCCCTACTCATCTCGAAAGATGTACTGGGGTTTTTTAAAGTGCACATGAGCATTTGTGTACACTGGGCCTACGGTTTATAGTCCTTAACCGAGAAGACTTGTTCTACCACCAGAATTATAGGACTGAGCCGGCCGCGAACCTGTGCCGATATTGTTGGCTATGATCACGGTGCCCCTGCCTTAACCGCTCGGCCATTAGGCTTGCTCAAAGAAATGCAAGCAATGAGCATAATTAAACTTGTAAAAATATTAATAAGCTCTATCTTCTCATTAATAATCTGCATTCTGCTTAAAATCAATGACTCCGTTTACTATGGTAACTTTAATAATAATAATAATAGTGTAGCTTTATATAGTGCCAAATCCATCTAAAATAAGATGCTCAGGGCGCTTGATATGTGGACTAGGAAATCAATCAATGACTTTCTTCACCCCTAAGGGTCCCTTCGTGTCTGTGCTACCCGGTAACCCGGTACCAGCAACTCTCATCGTCCACCACATGGCTGTCTGTTCCAGTACACCGGGGTATCCCCCTACTCGTCTCGAAGGATGTACTGGGTTCTTTATAGTGCACACGAGCCATTGTATACACTGGGCCTACGGTTTATAGTCCTTATCTGAGGAGATTTGTTCTACCATAGGAACCATAGGCAAGCGTGCCGTTCAAACCAGCACCGATATTATGGCTGTAGCTTGCGGCACCCCTGCTAACCGCTCAACCATTGAAATCTATTATTGGCAAGTAACAACCCCAAAAACAACATGAAGAACATAGGAAACTACATTAGTCTTCCTGAGACAAATAATTAATTATAATTACCAATTACAATGATATGCATACTTACCAAGTCTTTGGTTTTCTGTGGAGTCGAGGAGCTTGACAGAGGTCACTGTATCCGTATGTCCGCCAAAGCTATGTTGTTCTTCCTTAGTATCCATGTTCCAGACCTTCACCATTGTATCACGTCTTCACAGTACCAGAATCAAAGAAGAAAGCAGAAGAAAAATAACATGACATTTTGTATGCTTTTGGTTCTGTTTTTTAGATTGACAAATCTCAATAAGATATTATTGCACTATTTAACGAGAATAAAATCTATCAATCAATTAATCAATATATTACAGGTGCCACCAATGTATGCATCCATTATAAAAACAATGGAGAATGTTTAAAAAGGATGTTTAATTGATTATTTGAAAACTTTCTTTTGATAGAGACCTATATATTACAGATACAGAATAGGCCTTCATTATTATCCATTGCTGGAAATTACATTGCTCACTTTTACATAAGTCAAAAAAAATGTTATAAATTACTTATACATTATTAAACATCATTAAACTGTCGTTTATATATTAGCATGGAGGTGTAATATTATATAATATACTTCCATGACACCAAAATTCACAAAAATAATTAAATAAAAATCCTACCCTCCTGATAAAATGGTATTTTCTATAGAGTGCACAGCCACAATGAGATCATTGTGACCTTCAAAAGCGTGGGCAGAAAACTTGGCAGTTGCCCAGAATGAGGCTGGAGAGCTAGATTTGGACGGTTGAGAACTAGGCTTGGATGACTTAGGTTTTTTGACTGCAAAAAAAATGGATATGAGCAGCAAGGTTTGATGACATGTAGTGAAAGTGTTATTATTACAAGTGCTCTAAGACTTCCTTTTGATTCTTTGGAATGCATAATCACTAAAATGAAAATCTTATTGTACACTTTTTTGATTTCTTGCTTGCTCCATTATTCTTTGGACACATTGCTACATTTGTGTGGTACGGTTGCAAAAAGTATCATAATGTTATCATTTTAGAGCAAGGCAATAGAAACCTGTATGGAGATTGGATTAAACATATTATTTAAAACAATAATTAAATTAGTGTAAAATATATCTGACCATGTCTAGTTGAGTCACTTGTTTCAATTCTAATATGTTTTGATTTAGAATGATCTTCTGTATTTTCGGTTGTTTCACTAGCTACAGCAGTCATGGAATCCTTAACACAAAGCCTTTCATCAGATTCTGTAAGCTCCTCCTCTTCTGCAAATTCATCTGCTTTCCTTTTCATCTCAAGTTCTTGTGGATATGAGAGATCTGCATCTAAGGAATTATCCCTTATACTGATTTCTGTATCATCATGTTTTTTTGATGTGTTCAATAATTCATTAACACTGTCATTTGCAAAACTCGAATCCTGAGTTTCATGTGAAAGGTTACTTTCTGTGATGGATTCATCACCAAGTTCGGACAATTTTTCAAGGAGTATATTTCTTATGTCATCTTTACGTGAAACCTAATGAAACAAATGAGATGCAGCCATTGGTTAGATTTGACAACATCAATTCTGCTATATTATGTATCATGTAGCACACCATCCATGTATTGTTAATAATATAGTTCTAAGTCACTCTAACAAAACTCCCACCATGGCCTACTACTGTAGGCCTACTTAGACCGTGCTTATCCTTAGGCTAAGTCACCCTACCAGGCCTAGGCCTAGCTTAGTAGTTAGTAGTAGGCCATAGGCATAGGCTAGGTACCTTCTTTTCATATTACACAGTACTTTTTGACAATGTTGTGCGTAGTTTGTTCCTTTTGATCAATTTGATTTGCTGACGTATTTTCTAAGTCGTTTCAAACTGCGCAAGGATTCTTTCAGCATTTATGGTAAAATATGACACTTATGAACTGATATTGATATTAACTTATTATTAGATTATGATTCAATATAACATATTTTTTTTGGAGATATATGGAAATTCTGATGTTTTAAAATTTGCAGTGATAGATAGGCCATCCATGTTGTATGTGGGACATGCAGCACAGTCAGTAATTATTAAATTTATTAAAGATATACCACTACTAAAAAACTAATATGAATAGGCCTAGACCTAATAGGAATTAGTTTTTTACAGATTCATCTGGTCTAGGCCTAGCCTATGCCTCCTAGGGCCAAGGCTAGGTGTGTCACCTATGGAGTACTGTACATTGAAACACATCATTCAGGCTTATATTACCTTGCAAGACAAAGTATTGTATGTAGGCAAATTATATAGGACTTTATTTTTATAACACTTTTTAATTTACAGGATAAGATTCCTGAATGTGGTTTTTCTTTTAATGAACTAAAAATCATCATACAACAATGACAACTTCTTATTTGCGCTGTACATACACATAACAAGAGTACTGTAAATATGATTTTTTGCAACAAGAGTAATAATAGGCCTACTATACAAATATTACTTAGGCCTTAGTAATAGTAGGCCCTTAGTTAGGAAGTCACATTATAATATATGTTATTTAAACTGGCCTACGATGTATTATGAAAAATACACAAGTTTAAAAAAATCAGACTGCCAATCATCCAAATTCCTCCACCAACAACCCAGGTCCACCTCACTGGCACACCATCTTTCCACCTACCCAACCACACACGATCCATGACCATCCATGCATATCCGGCTTACACACATGTGCCAACGTTTTTATTCAATGTCACACCATAAACAGAAAAAAATTAGGCCTAGGCCTACACTAGTACTACAGTATAAATCAGTATCAAAACGTGCAAATAGATCAAAATGTGCATGAGCTACCCTTTTGTGTCGATTAATCACAATTACCATCCTTTAAGGTCTCATATAAATTGCTAGGCCACCGACCTTTTGTAGATCACACCCGGAAAAATCCTTCAGCCTAGGCTAGGCCCTACCAATATAGGCCTAGGCCAGGCTTTCCAGCAGGGGGCCTAGCAGACCCGTTCATGTTTTAACACACTTTAATGTGTTCACAACCTGCCTTGGTATTACTTTTAACAAAAACTAATTAACCTTAAGATTTTCTTCGTCTGTCAAAATCCTATTCACTGTTTCTAATCTTTCAATTTGTCTTAATTTCTTCCGTAATTTTCTGACAAACAATAACGAATCACTCGCACTTGTACATGTGGACGCCATCACCGCCACTCTGCACTGCACTCTGACCATGTTTTGAAATTGCGCCACCAATCATGATTAATTGTTCTTCCACCATCATAGAGCTATTAAACAACTAGAGTGCTGACAAGATGGCGGAGCAATGTAGAGTTGTGTATGTGTAGCATCCAAGATGGCTGCCGTAGGAAAGCGCCACCTTCAGGCTTAATATACATATTATTACCATAAATAAGCCCTCTGA